AGGCAACTGGAGATGAACACAATGTGGAAACCATTGATGGTCACCCTGGGGCCTTCACCTTCTATCTGGATGCCAGCCTTGCCAGGACTACTACTGGAAATAAAGTGTTGGGGGCTCTGAAGTGGCCTATGAACAGAGACTTGTCTATCTCTCAGAGTACCAAGCTATTCCCTGATTATGATTCAGACAGCAAGGATTTCAATGCAGAAGAACATCAGAAACCCATCATGGGACAGAATGTTGCAGAGTACATGCGTTACCTAATGGAAGAGGATGAAGATGCATACAAGCAACAATTGTCTCACAAGGAACCAAGAGAGGTCTGCAGGGGACAGCCCCAATCCCAACTTTGTGGACACCCCACTCCCTCCACACCAGAAGAATGTACTTCAGAGGACAGCACTGAAGCTACAGAGGGGCACATCTGATCACAGCACACAGGAGCAAACAAAGAGGGTAGGAAAGAGAGTGGAACACATCTGGCCCACCAAGCCCCGAGGACGATATGCCTGCTCAGAGCAGACAATGCAGAGAGGGCAATAGGGCCAGCCACACCATGAGACACAACATCCCCCACTGAGCCATAGCGCTACGGGGGACAACACTGGAGACACAGGGCGGGAATTGTGCCTGATCTGACCCCATCACACTGGGGTGAAACACTAAGGGCATGCAACAGAGCAGCAAGGGGAGCAAAGCAATGAAGTCCCCAGGGAATACCAAAAATAGACTCTGGGGACAGAGTGTGGCAGCCCATCGGACTCAACTGGAAAATACTCCTAAAGGTCAAGTAGAAAGAAAACGCTTTGAAAATGATGACAACATATGTACAAATGTGTCTGTACATATGGATGGATGGATGGATTGTGATAAGAGCTGTAAGAGCCCCCAATAAAAGTATTTAATTAAAAAAACAAAACAATTGTCTCAAAACATAAAGCACAATGTAACACCTGACATGATGTAGGAGCTGTGTAAGAAAGCACACGCTGCCATAAGAGAGAGAATCCTGTTGTGAGAAGGCGCCCGAGAGAGATGTTAAAGAAAAGAGGTGGAAGAGTCCCAGCATGTCTCCTGCCCACGGGAAAGCAGGGAGCTCAGAAGGCAAGCTTCCTCAGAGCTCAGGAGCAGGCCGCAGACAGTTAAACCAAACCCTAATTTTCCATGAGGATTTCCTACAGAAAGACAATAAACATATTCACTGGGCAAAAAAAAGGAGCCAACTTTCCATTTGAGTCTTATGTTTCCCTGTTGCCATCATTATTTTCTAATTCACAGTAACGAGAAAACAAAAGTACACAACTCTTTCTTGAAACATATTTATATACCCCTTTCCAGTTCCACAGTTACCAAAAGCATTTCCAAATTCACAAGAAATCCCATCTAGGGCAAGTCTGCCTGCATAGACCTCAGAGCAGCCTTTGTCTGCGGGAAGAATCCAGCCCTCGACATTGTTTCTTCACTGTTTCCCACCCCCAGCCACTTCCCCACAGCTGTGTGAGCAGGTCAGGGTCGGACAGATCAGGCACAGCATGAGGGCTAGCTAATGGCTCTTGGACATCTGTGTGTAGGGTGGGGAGAGTGGACTGCTTTGCAACACTTGCAGAGGAGATGCCCGAACAGAGACTGTTGGACTCACCTGCAACTGGAGGCTCAGGGCTCTGTGCTTCACGGCTGTGGTGTGGAGGGCACGGTCCATGTGGACCTGTCCTAGGCTCCACCTCCACTTGCTCCACCAAACCCTGTCAGAGAGCAAATTGCAGATGAACCGATGAGAACAAAGGCCCATCTACAGAAGCAAAAGGCCTATGGGGCTGGGCTTGCGATGTTCTCAAACCTTAGATACTAGAGTGTCTGGTGTGTACACGTTTTAATATATGAATTACTGCCAACATTTCTAAACCAGGAGCAGACACACAAAACAGTAGGTGAACTCAGAAGGTCTGACAGCCCTCATCAGTGGGGGTCAACCAGTGGGGACTTTGTCTTTTTGATGGTCCTCTCCCCTTCCTATTGGGCTTGCTGGATTTTCATTTTACTGGTCATTTTGCTCCTGCCTCATTATTTCTTGATTTGCTACCGGAAAACTATTCCAAGGAAATGAGAGTCTGCAGCCTCCGCTTCATCTGAACATCTCTTTGTCTTGGTCACTCAAAGCTCCCTCCTAAGCGGGGCCTTGTGGCATCACTCACTTTCAAAATCCCAGCTGTCCTGCATTATCATCTTTTTTTAATTAAAAGATCATTTTACTGGGGGCTCTTACAGCTCTTGTAACAATCCACACATCAATTGTATCAGGCATATTTGTACCTATCTTGCCATCA